TACTACAGCATGTGGTCAACAAGTTTGAGACTAGTGACCACCGTTGCAACGTGGGCTGTTCTTAATTTGTCACTGGTATGATCAGCACAGGCCTGTCTAATCCTCAAATGTAATGTCTTCCCAACTGGGGGCTAAGATGTCCCTGTTGTTGAGAATGATGAATCTCGATGGACATACCCAATGTATACGTCTTGAAAATAAAATAAACAGATGCCAAAGCATGATAACAAAAACTCGGCTTCACTCTCTCTCTCTGGCAAGGTAGAACGAACGCAACTTTGGTTGTTTAATAATTGCCGCAGTCGTCACGGTCATCATCACTCTGCCGCCCGTAATTTTGTGGTCTCGTCAATGAGGGCTCCCAAGTAATTGAGGATTTCATCGCAGGGGATCTGCCATGCCCTGCGCAGGCTTTGGCACGGTGTGGTGACATTTCTAATGCGGTTTTCTTTCCACACCATTAGCCTGTCACTCAGCCGCAGTACGTATCAGTGAGAGTTGTCGGACTTGATCGGTAGGTGTAGGTGTGAATGCAACATCTTTATATCGGGCACAGTAGCCCTTTTGTGTTCCTAAGCAAGTAGAACAGTGTCCTGCCGTTTTGAATTTTGTTCTTCAATATAAGATTAATTACATTAAAAATATAAAAATATATATTTTTGCCAAATGCTCAACAAAGATCGTTTGTGTTGTTGGGCTAGTGCCTGGAACTTTGTCCTGGTAAGTCACATGGATAGAATAAAAAAAAATTAAAGTGGGTTAGTGCATTTTAATGGTAGTATTGGTTGTGTGAGTGTGTGTGTGCGTGGACATGTGTGTGCAATCGTGTTTTAGAATTGTGAGTGCGTGCATGTGTGTGTGCGCGTGTGTGTGTGAAATTCACTGCAAATGCCAAAGGATCACACAGCCAAAATAAAAGAACCATTACTTGCAAAGCCAACAGTGTTACATTGCTCTTCAACAATACACAAAGGCACGGTGGATTACTGCACAATGCAGACCTGTGCTGTAATAATGAAAAGAGGTGTTGACTTGAAGTCTTCACTTGTTTGGATGATTGATTGATTGAGGAATGTTTAGCGGGCCAGCTATAGAGCCCACCATATCCTGGGTAGCCAGGCATACACGTTAGGCATTTGCTGTCACAAAGAATGTCATCTGACATAAAGGTAAAGAATTCTAGGCTCGAGTTCTTTTTCAAAGCCCAAACATTGTGACATTTGTTTGGTCATCCACGCCCATGGTGAGGAGGCTGTTGTTATTGCCTCAATTTTTCATGAGCGCGTGCCAGCGGAATGAACGCGCGCCCCCCTTCCATCTCCAACGTCAATTTGCGATCCGGGTTCTCAAATTTTCTGAGGATCCCAGCTGGTAGACTGATATCTGTCGACGGCGAGTGAAGCCCAAAGCCACGCGTTGCCCAGTACGCCAAATATATCGTGTTGTATATCGGGAGACCACAAACCACACGCCTTCAAGGGTTCCTCACTGCTCACCAGACCAAGACCTTATGAAGCCCCCCCCCATTCACTTGTAACCTGAGCAGGCAGCTGGCTGCGTGCAAAGCAGGTGCAGACAGCAGGCCCTAATCCGTGTAGTGTGGATTGGTGTCCTAAATGTTTGCTTTCACTTGGGAGTCCAGTATCACCTTTATCTATACCTGGTTGCTGTGTAATGGTGATTAGGGCCGGATTAACCGAGGGACTTAGGGTCTGCAGCCCAGAGTCCTTTGATTTTGAGGGCCCTGTAATAAAGTATAAACGGTACCACTTTATAATGGTTGAAAGGCAATCGTGTCATTCAAGCAATCGCATCACGATGTGGATTGCTACCAGTTGTGTTGACATTAGCAGAGTTTTGTTCGTTTTAACTTTAACTTAGCTTAAAAACTCGTGTATTTCATTTAAATATCTACAACTGAAATAACCGTGTTTGTCAATGAGCATGGGTGATGGTGAAACAGGTAAGGGGAAAAAATGAATAGGCAGAGAGGGACCCCCTAAAAACTATGCTAACCCTGGGTCCCAATCAAACTTGCTCTGGGCCAGGTGGTGATATTTAACATAGCAGTTTTTTTTACAGTATAACTACCATCCCCTGTGAGCTGATGCACAAACTAAGACAGGATGATTTTTTATTCGTTTTCCTTTATTCGTGGTTTTATTTGTTAAGGGTTTTATTCAATTGTATTCATTAAGGGGTGTGTCAAGCGTTGGACTGTGAGGCGTTGTGTGAATGGGCCACTGTATAAAATAAAGTCTTAGTTAGGCAAGAATGTGGGTGATGTGTGACCACAGGACACCGGGGTTACTTATCGTGTAGATGTACGTGCCGCGTTCGTGTCTGTGTGTGTGTAATGAATTCAACGTGGAATTTGTCGAGTCGGAATATTTATTTAAAATATATTTGGTCACTTTACAGCGGTCCTTGGGGCTTTATTGTTGGAAAACCGTTTCAGGCACGAAAAATTCTTTTTTCCCAAAACGAAAAAAAATAACATAAAATAAATCACGTTTTTTGGGATAAAGGCCAATGTGTATGTTCAGCCAAAGCAACATTTTCCCAGACATCTTTCCAGTGAGGCCACGTGAGACTTTGCTTGCACACCTACCTTACTACTTTGCCATTCCACTTCTCTCACAAGCGTGTTCTGTACTGTAACAAAATGGCAATGGTTCATCGTTAACTGCAGAGGTCACACTGGATTTTCTGTCCGCTGTATAAAAAAAACGAAATCAACATTTTGTCTGTAAACATTATTCAAAGAGAGAAAACATTGAATGTTTTCCTGCGAGAAAGCGTTTACCCGACTGTTGTACTTTCACTTTATTCCTTTTAACTTAAAATCCAGTTATAACACAATTTTCCTTAAAACGTGTTTCTCAAAATTGTTGCTGCAAAGTTGGCTTTAAAAAAAAAGTCGTTTGCAGCGGTGTAACAGAATCGGCCGTGTTGGCCGTGACGGGCTCTGTAATTTGCCAAGTTCGGTACAGGGTCACTGTGAATGGAGCCTGTTGTGGAATGTGTTCCACAGAACCAGCGATCTGCACCGTAAATGTCCCCAATTTTCTGAAACTTTCAGCTCACTGGAGTATAACCCAACTACCCCTAGCTGACGGTTGCATGAAAACAAATTTAACGCAACACAGGTGTTGGGTGGTGGCGGGTTTAACGACAAATATATATTTACGCGATCTAACCCAATAAAAAAAAAACTGTTATGGAGTTACATTAGTATCGATGACACTTTTTTTTTCTTTCCACCACGTACATTCGGTAGCATGTTTAATACATGTTCACTTAACTTAGCTGCTTGTTTTTTTTATGCCAAGCTTTCCGCTCGGAGTTTCTTCTGAGAGCCATCGCACGCACGATCCAACAAGTGTCGCGTGAAGTTATAAACAATCGGATTTGCAAGTCTCACGACTTTTGTGACTCGGCTCGAATGCGAGCCTGGGTTTCTGTGCATGGGGCATGCGTCGAGGTGGGGGGAGGGGGTGAACACGGAACTCGGTGTGGATTCTTGTGAAAACTATCCGCCTCATTCAGTGGCCCGTGCAGTGCACACAGGAAAGGTCGTTTTCGAAAGCCGGCCGTCTGGTTTAAGTGACGTCGGCCAACAAGGCCGAGCATTTCGGCATCCCTGAACGCAAGGGAGACGTTCAAATGTTCTCCACCTTCTCGCACTTTTTTTGCCCGCAAACATTCGGTAACTTCCAGGTGTAAAGCATTTGACTGTGCCATCATTTTTTGTTTGTACATCATAAACTCATTACCTGGTTTATAAAAAAAATAAAGAATTTCGTACCCCAGGAAATATTTTAATTGGTGATTATTAAACTCATGAGATGTGACACGTTTTAAAAAATATATATTTCTGTATGTATTTTATACACACTTTTGAGAAGAGGTAGAAGGCCGTTAGATAAAGTTGTTCAGCCCGTCCCAGGTGTCCTGGACAGGGGGGGGGGGGGTATAGCATTTTCCACCGTAGCCATGAGCGCCAAAACCTCCCCCTCGTGTGCGTGGCGGGGGTGACGAGCGCACGTTCATTCAACATTCATGGCGCCCCGCTTGACTCTTTCTTTTCTGTGCGCGAGCGCGAGAAGTGATCCCGGCGCGTGGCCCTCGTGAATAATTTAAGGCAACTGCCGCGGGGTGGCGGTGGTGTCCGTTACGCCCGAGGCAGTGGGTGGAGAGAGGGGTGTTTGGTTCGAGAGTGAGCGAGTGGATGCGCCTTCGCGTGCGTTTGCATGTGTGCCCGCGCGTGTGTGTGTGAGTGCCCATGAGGCTTGTGCCAGTTATTAGCGTCTGTTGCGACTTCTTGGCCTTTGTTGGATGTCTCACTTTGCTGCCTCGGTTCAGCCGGAGAGCAGGTTTGCTGCTCCATAAAAAAAAAACTGTTAAGGTAACTTGGCCAAAAGTGTGGTATTGTTTTGCAGGAATTGTGCTGTTCTTCATTGTGTTTTCGTGTTCGTATTGTTTGTGGCAATTTTGGGTGTTTTTTCTTTCCTCCAAGGAATTTGTCTTGTTTTGTATACAATGGGTTCGGAGAGAGCGGACAGTTTTCACTAATCTTTGTCAACAAGTTACACACGTGTGATAGGAGGCTAATGGGTCCACGTTTCTCTTAAGTCAGTTTTGTCTTGGATTGAGGCGTAATTTGTTCCCTGACTATGGTATTTTATAGCCGAGTATGAGTGTAATTAAATAAATAGTACCACTCGTGGTTACATTTGTAATGTGAATACGTTTAGAACTGCGTACGACAATAATAACCGACGGAGCGTTTTGATTCGAATGAAAAATGAGCGATACATTGTTGAACGAAAATGCTTTTTGACGACTTAAATTTTGTCAGCGAAGCTGAGCGGCCACAATTTCATTAAGTTTTTTTTTTGGTCAGAGAACTGTGTATACCTCTGTTGCTTCAGCTCTTGGCCTTCCAGGAGCACGCGAGCACACGTGATGACAGCTGTATTTTTCACACTCTCGTGCAGGTGCCGTAGGCCAACATTCGAGCCCGAAAATAATTATCGCCTTGTGAGGACAAGCGCAATTCAAACGGAAAAGCGGTGAAACAAGGAAAGCCGTTGAGGAGGAGGAGGAGGAAAACCAGAGGACCCCAGCCTCCTTGCAAGACGCCCACTGCGGGCAGGAGTTTGAGGCTCCTTCCGTGCATACCCGAGATGCATCGCTCGGGCGCATCTCGCTCCAAGGAGAGCGGCGCGCCGCCCAAAAAAAGCAGCATGCTCAGCAGCCTCCTGCAGAAGCTGCACCTCGACAACCACGGCTCATCCTTCACCGCAGCCGTGGCCAGCAGTCGGGGCGGCCTCGGGCGGCAGTTGGACCTGCACCGAGGCCAGGATCCCCCGCCCATCTCGAGCGTGCTCAACCACAACCTCGTCAACCTCAACCAGCTGCAGTCGGGCGCGCTCAACGTGCCGGGGCAACCGGGCAGAGGCGGCGGTGGAGGCGGCGGCGGTGAGCGGCGGCGGCGGGGGCGGAAGCACCGCGGTGATCCAAGGGCACCACCCGCCCTTCTCGTGCCCGCAGACGCAGCTCGGGTACCCATGGGGGCTTGACGAGTGCTTTGCGGGCGACGTCGCGAGGGCCGCGCAGCTTTAGCCAGTCGCGCCAGCGCCTCTGCCAGGTGCAGCCGCTGCCCGACTCTGGCCCCGGCGTGCCAGGGGCTCGGGGCCTGGCACCAGCGCTCGCACAGCTCGGGCCAGCCGGTGCAGAACCTTGTGCAGATCCAGCAGAGCAACCAGAGCCTCTTCGGCGGGCCCGCGGTCGCCTCTTGCCAGGGCTCGCAGGCGTTCGTGCAGGGCCACGGCATCCAGTCCAACCAGAACGTGAAAAAGAGCCTGATGCTCCCGCTCGCCGTGAACCTGCAGGGCACGGCCGTCGAGTTTGTCGGCCCGCAGAGGCCGAGCGAGCGCTCCCAGAGCCCCCGGCGCTCCAACCAGAGCCAGAGTCTGCTGAGCCTGCAGCAGCAGCAGTTGCAGCAGCAGCAGCAGCAGCTGGTGCATGCACCTAGGCCCAAAAGCCCTTCGAGTCAGGTGGCGCAGAAGCTGTTTGGCTACGGTGAGGAGAGCGAGCGGCAAATGCTGGACGACGGGGAGGAAGAGGAGGACCCGGCGCTGCGAGGCCATGAGGCCTTCCCGCACGAGAACAACAACGGCGAGGAGGCGCGGAGGCAGAGGAGGAGCCCCGGCGAGCCGAGGCCGCGGCGGCCCACGCACGGCCGGGCGAGCGGTGCCACGACCTCCGCGGCGGTGGCAGCCGTGGCGGCCCAGCAGCGGGTGGCCGACGACAAGGAGAGGGAGCGGGAGCGGGAGAGGGAGAAGGAGAGGGAGCGGGAGAAGGAGCTGGAGGAGGCCCGCACACGCGCCATGCAGATGGAGAAGACCATGCGCTGGTGGTCGGACTGCGCCTCGAGCTGGCGCGAGAAGTGGGGAAAGGTCAGTCGCGTATTTGTGGTTTTAGTTGGTGCTGCAAGGCTTCTGGGCGGCCTCGCACGCTGTCATTTGGAATTTTAAGGAATTACAGTCAGAGTGTCACCACGTTTAAATAATCATAAGGCCTACCATTTAGGGGAGGGGGGGGGGGCGAGATATGCGACCGTACTTCACCACGCCAGTCAACACGGATTGGTGAAAATACTCACCATAAGACTGAGTGATGGCAATGGCCTGGGGAGACCTTCATCCAGAAGTAGATAGGTCGTAGCTGATGATGATGATAACGAGGATCATGACAGTAGTGGCAGTAGAAGAATATTGAGGCAGCCGGGGAAATGTGTAGCAGGTATAGCCGGTGTTTACATTGCATGGAGAGAAAAAAAAACTTCTGCTGCACGTCGTGGCTACAGCATTATTCTGGCTGCTGTTGATCTCAGATTGTCTGGAGGTGGTGTGTGACAGGGATGGATGGGGGATGGGTATTGCACTGCAAACCACACGTTACACTTTGTTGTCTATAGACAGTGACTAAATGCTTTGTTAATCAACAAATATTATCAATACCCTGATAACTATGAAGTACATTTGATCATTATTTGGTACTGAACGTTTTTTAACTCTTTTTTGTTGCGTGATATTGACGTCATGTCAAGAAATGATGAATCTATTGGGAAATGTCACAGAGGTCTGTGTGCCAGGGAGCGGCCCGCAGAAGACATTATCTCATTAATTCAGAAATATCCTTAAAATAGCCATTTTATTATTTACACAGTCGTGGTTACACCTCCCTGCGTGCTCTGCTATGAGCCCGTTGCATTGCAGCCAAACCAAAGGCATTCTTGTTTGAATTCTCAAAGCTGGAATTTCGCGAAATAATGTGAACATTTATTTTAATGAGATTTTTGTTCGTGCAGTTATCGGCGACCGGTCTGAGACCATCAACTCGCTGCACTTGAGAAGCCACTTTTAATAACGGGTGGCTGCTTGCCATTGAACCCAGGGTCTCGGCAGTGCAGGATCAGTGGTCTTGACTTCTGAGCAATACAGCCATCTCTGTCTGTCAACCAGAGTATCAATGTGATCCAGAGTGGTGCTGCTGTGCACTGACATTTGGGTACGGAGCCAGAAATGGAAATGCCATATTTCTGTGTTTGGGACAGACACACGCATCCATATATAAAACTAAACTAAACAATTTTTATTTTTATTTTACCAGGTAAGGTCTATGTAAAAAAACTAAAAACTATTTAAACTATATTTTCTATTTTACTAAGTAAGGCCCAGTGATCTATATAGTTCTCTTTTCAAAAGCGACCTGGCCACAAAGAATAGCCTAATTAAGTGGCTTGTCATGTGGGAATTTATATCAGCCAAATACTGTAAACGTTTAAATTTCGATTTAAAGCTTTCGTGACTGCAAGGATTCATCTTCTTTGGTTCTTTCGGTAAAGTCACGTAGAATGAGAATAAAATAATAAATTGATAAAATAGAATAACACAATAATATTCTCACGACGTTTCGGCCACAACACAAGCGGCCTTCATCAGGTGAAGGGGACGAGACTGTCTGGAGGACAGCGCTGGAGTGAGAAAGCCACGCTGAGATCACGACCTTTAAGCTTAGAGTCACGGCATCTCTTCAGAAAGGTGAGAGACTCGATTAGTTGAGCCTTCTTATCCCGGAGTCTGTTGAATGATCTTAAGGTGGTGTGGAATCCCTCTCCGTAGAGGCGGTTAAATTTCGATTTAAAGCTTTCGTGACTGCAAGCATTCATCTTCTTTGGTCCTTTCGGTAAAGTCACGTAGAATGAGAATAAAATAATAAATTGATAAAATAAAATAACACAATAATATTCTCACGACGTTTCGGCCACAACACAAGCGGCCTTCATCAGGTGAAGGGGACGAGACTTGCAGTCACGAAAGCCTTAAATCGAAATTTAACCGCCTCTACGGAGAGGGATTCCACACCACCTTAAGATCATTCAACAGACTCCGGGATAAGAAGGCTCAACTAATCGAGTCTCTCACCTTGCTGAAGAGATGCCGCGACTCTAAGCTTAAAGGTCGTGATCTCAGCGTGGCTTTCTCACTCCAGCGTTGTCCTCCAGACAGTCTCGTCCCCTTCACCTGATGAAGGCCGCTTGTGTTGTGGCCGAAACGTCGTGAGAATATTATTGTGTTATTTTATTTTATCAATTTCTTATTTTATTCTCATTCTACGTGACTTTACCGAAAGAACCAAAGAAGACTGTAAACGTTTGTTTCTAAATGTGGAGGGAAAAACCGGAGGACCCGGAGAAATACCCGCATGACCAAGGGGAGAACATGCAAACACCAAATATGTATGCGTCAGGGTCGGAATCGAACCCACGACCTCCTGTATACCAGGCGAGGTAGTTAACATCTTGCCACCACAATACCTTTATGTCTTCGTAGCGCTGCCACTGTTGACTTCCCACCAGATGATGCGGGACTCGTCAGGCAATCCTCTAGTAGTTATTATTAGCTTTGTAACAATTCACCGCATTTAGATGACGTGCGTCAAAAACAGTGTGTTCATAAATCAATCACTTACGATGCATGGAACAAATATATAAATATATGCGAGTGCAGCTTTTTGTTTAAATAAAACAACACAGACTGGGCAGGCCAGACAGAGCAGACAATACAGATGAGACAGAACAGATGAGACAGAATAGGATTGATTAATATTGAGGTGGAGACAGAAAGAATAATTAAGGACCGGTGTGTGTGAGTGCAAATGAAGGGTATTTAATTGTAAAAGTATTTCTCTTAAGTTGCAAATAGTTTTTTGTATGTAAATGATCTGAATTACAGGAAGAAACCCATCAGCAAAAATTAGTTCACCATTATCTAGCTCCGTGTTGCAGTTGAAGTGTAAATGCAAATTGCACGAATTGTGATGCTTCAATGTTCACAAAATTTGCCGAGTGTGTTTACAGCTGACAATTACCCCGAGCAAAAATGTAAACCCACACCCTGGAGGCAACCTCTCCATGTAATTGCTGTGCCTTGATCACGAGCCACATTTTAATTACAGAAAATCGCCTTCTCCAAAAGAAGCGCGAACTGACTTAACGCTAATATAATAATGACAGTAGCCGCAGGGTTTGATTTTTTTTTTATTCACACACGTGCACGGTTTGTGATGGTGTCAGCCTAAACAACGTGTTTGGTCGCACCACTTGGATGTGAAGTCTATGAAGTGATTTGGGAATCTGCGTGTGTGTGCATGCTGACTCACGGCAACTGGGTCTGTCCCGTGTCCTCCTGCCAGCGAGCCTTCGACACGTCACGTGACCTCAAACGTGCACCGAGCCTGGCACAAGCGCCGTGGTAACACCACCGCCACTGAGTTGGCGAATGGCGGTTGTTGACTATGTGAATACAAACTGGTGATCCTGTGTGGTTTTTGGTTGTTGTTGCCACTTTCTCCAATTGCATTCCAGTTCCAATCGTTGCCATGTCATAAGACGCGAGAACTTTCTTCCAGAATTCCCACAGAGAGCGGCACACCGCCTGGGTGTCAGAGCAGTGGGTTCCCATCCCCTCTGGGCCTGGGAAACACTGTTAACCCTCCAATTGTTATTCACAGACCACCGTGCAGTAAACAGCAAACGTGGAACGTTGGTCCAGTGGTTTTGAAGCACATGGTCAAAGTTGGCCGAACGTTGAACGTTAACTGGGATGGATGGTGTTTTGTGAGACAACGTCATACCTGCACGATAGCCTTGCAGACCGCAGAGAATCGCCTGGGAAGATAACATTCTGAATTCCCCCTGCCTAGAGTCTTTGTTGAATGTCAAAAACGTTTCAAACTTCAGAGCTAGAAAGAGCTAAATTAAAATGAACAACCACAATTTCATACAATGGAACCTTTTATCTTGACTTAAAGCTTTCGTGCCTGCAGGAATTCATATTTTTTGGGTCTTTCGGTAAAGTGACGTAGATAGGTTCAAAGAAAATAACAAACAAAAATAACAAAAAACTACGACCTTCCGATCACAACATAAGCGATCGTCATCGTCTTTTTACCTCCTGATGGCGATCGCTTGTGTTGTGATCGAAATGTCGTAGTTTTTTGTGATTTTTATTGTTATTTTCTTTGAACTTATTTACGTGACTTTACCGAAAGACCCAAAGAATATAAAAATTGGACCTTTTGTTGATGCTGTTGTGGGTCATTGGTGCCGATGCTGCAACCGTGAACTCACTACGACGTCACGACCCAGTTCAATCACAACTTTTCCAAAACATGGAATTCAAACCAACCGTCTCTGTAGCGCTTGGCTCGGTGCCCTCACGTGAGCACTATCCCCCCCCCCCCATACCCCCCCCCGCCCCCCTCGAGCCACATGGCCAGACCTCCATTTGCGTTTCCCTCGCCAAACCACAGGCGCGCACGGAGAGAAACGAATCGCGGGACGAGAACCGCCAACTGAAGCAGCGCCTCGACGGCCTGGAGAGGGAGCTCCACCAGATCCAGATGGAGAAGGACCGGGCCGTCGGCGACAACCAGACCCTGCGGGAGCACCTGGACATGCTGCGGGCCTGCCTGCATCAAGCCGGCGTGCCAGACCCCACGGCGCGCGACGTCGACTCCCCCGCCGACAGGGAGGCGGGCAGAGGCGCGGACGTAGAGCGGGAGAGAGGCAGGGAGCTGGAGAGGCAGCTCCAGGCGGAGATGGAGCTGGAGCTGGAGAGAGAGCGAGCAGATGGCTTCATGAGCAAGTGGGGGCAGTTGCCGGGGTTGGCCCGGAGGCCCAGCTTCGGCGTGGAGAAGGAGTCAGCGCCACGGGACAGCATGCCGGGCGATCACCTGGCGACTCTTCTCTGCCGCGACGTGGGATGCGCCACTGGGGCTCTTCCTGTGCGGCGTCTGTCAGCTGCCCTCGAAATGGTGAGTGTGACAGGGTGAGTGTGGCAGGGTGAGTGTGACAGGGTGAGTGTGACAGGATGAGGCCCACCAGCGTTGCTGACTCTGCGAGATTTTTCCAAATGTTTTCTTCTTATTCTTGTATGTTTGTTGAACTTCTTTCACACCGTACGTAGCCAACAGTGCTAATTGAAGGTGCGGGGGAAGGACAACAAACTAAACACAAAAAAACTGTTCTAAAGAAATCAGTTTTCAGTCTGCACGTGAGCGTTTTCACTCAGTTCTATCTAAAGCTACGTTCCTGTATTGCTAAGAGTTCCAGGTCTGTCCAGCATAAGATATTGTCCAACCCTCTTGTTCTAGTTTATCCTCTATTTATTGATCTTTGGGGGCACTTGCTTGCCATGTCATGCTTTGTGACCATCTACCATCCATCATTGTTTCATGGTCAAAGTCATCATCAGCATCATCAGCCATGATCACTGCTGGATGAAGGCCAGTCCCCAAGTTATCGCCCAAGTATTGTACACAACGAGTGTTGCACTTCATTGTTCCTGGCGCGCATGGAAATGTCAATAGACGTGAGATGAGTGTGCGTTATTACATTGTCTGTGGTCAAGGATGTGTCCTTCAACAATGCTTGAAGTCAGCGGGCATGCACCGGTGACTGCCGGGTAGGAATTCACAAAGGTGTGGTATCGTGTTGTTAACGTATATAGCCATATGTCCATATTGATGGAATAGATCACCAAAATAGATTTCTTTTATTTTGGCCATTGGAAGTTTTTACAAAAGTCACAGAATGAACCAAATTGCTGTGTATCCTAAATGAGATCCGAATAGATGAAACTCCTGCACCGTGCTGGCACAAGGCCCCGAGATGGAGCGATTAAATCGGGGTACATTGAAAGTATGAGATTCATCACGGCCGCATTTGAATAAATTATGGTGATGCAAACAAAAGGGGGGGGGGGGCCTTCGACCGACGGAGACTAAAAGACCGATCGTTATTCGTACGTGGTTTCATTTGTATTGGGCCACAAATATCTACGAATCTAAATGTATGAGGAGCAGTCCGGATGATCCTAGTAGCAAAAATAGCAAATGCTACGGGCCCCGCACTTTCAAAGGCCCCGCGCTAAATGCTTTCAAGCTATCAATTCCGGTTCAGTGATTCTGCACTTGCTCTATTACTATAGTACTATACTGCCTTCGACTTTTATGTACGACTGGGTGTTTATGGTTAGCGATTTGTCGTATTATCTGACTGTATAGCAAATGAAAAAATACAATTACTTTACTAAGCAAGTTACAAATTTGTGTTTTAATATTTGTGTGTTTTTATGTAGGGCCCCTTTATAACATATGCTACAGACCCCGCACTAGTTTAATCTGGTACTGATGAGGAGGCCCTCGTCCAGAAATACATTGGTAAGAGGCTGTCCTTTTACATGTGCAGCATTGCATGGCGATAATGCAGATTGCATGAACAATGTGGCAAAATGCAAATCAAAATAGGAATCGGATGTGAAGATATCTCTGGGCCATCTCTGCCTTTCCAATGACCTCGTCATTACAACAGTCGATGAAAATGAATTTCCTGGAAACGATTAAAGAGCTTCACTCAGAAGGCTGGAAAGTTTGTCTTAAGATAAAAAAAAATTGCAAAAAACAAAAATCACGTACCAACAAACTTGTAAACACGTTTTGTAGAAATAATTAGTGGAGGGTACAATTTGGATTAGGATAAAAAAACCTATTAATTAAAAAAATCAAACAAGATCGGCATTGAATGCTTTTGAAAAGCTGTAAATGGTCATGAAAAGCAACATACACATTGTGCCAGAAGAACGACAGGTTTAGTCGTCGCGTATTACCCGCGATGACATTGAACCGAAACGTGAAGACTGATGAAGGAAAAATCTAACAAGAGATGAATGGAGCACCGAGAGGGCACGGGGAGATGCACGATTTGGAATTACACTTTAGAGACTGAAAGAGGGACGCATGGCTCGGGGAACAAAAGCCAATTCGGAGACATCGCCGCGTTGACTGTGAAGGAAACGTAAGTGGGCTCTGGAAGGACGCGTCGCTGGAAGGGATGGAATGGCGGCTGATGGATGAAACCGCTTACAGAGTGACAGGCGAAAGATGGAACGAACTTGCCCATCGTCGGATGACCACGGCCTTAAACGGAGCGACGAGGATGCCGGCTCGCGAGTGGCAGCGAGATGGCTTGGGAAATATCGCAGGTTTCGCGAGGGACGGCAATGGGAGGCGATCATTTAGTGGTCGATACATAATGGCAGGTGATCGTGACAATGAGAGGTGCTGCATGCCCTTGCATGGGGAATCACAAACTGAACCAAATGGTTCGATAAATAAACGGATAAGTCGTGTAATAAGTTTGAAAAGAGCGTGGTTATTTTGCTTTGTTTCTGTCCAAGCTCTGGTCAGCACCATTAGACCGCAAAACAACTCTTAAAGGGCAACGTCCTGCCCGTTTCACTGAATATCCATACACTAGGCAACTCCATTGGGGTTCATCGCAGATCAAACCCATATATTTTACCCCTACAATTGCGGCTGCGGTGAGCTCGTAAATGGTGCGGTATAAAAACGGGCCACACAACAACAAACAGTCAGAGTGGAAACTCTTTCATAATTGAGTTTTCTGCGTGAAACAATAACAGGATATCTGAAAATGAAGCCTTCCCGTCACGATATCGGCCCCTGCGAATCATAAACATTCTTACCCCTCTCGTGTCGCCAAACGAACACAACAATATCACTTAAAAGCCATGGAACCCCCCTCATTGAATCCACCTGGGACCAGCGTAGCAGCACCGTATCCCAGGTGGCAAGATAAGACACTGGGAAGATCGGATTGACCAATTTGTAAATGTTCTGTCGTGGCACGTAAAACGCAAGTGCAGATTGTTTTCTGATAGCGGCTCGGCAATCGTCTTATCGGTGTTCTTCGCTAAACTTGCTGAAGCGAACGAGACGATCCTCGTTGCACTGCCAACTGGCGCAGTGTTTTCCGAATAACCGCGTAGAATAGTCGCGTTTCTAAAATAATTTAGAGGGCAATTTAATTTTGCGCTGGGCTTTCGAAGCGTCGTCGCACGCTTCTCTCTCGCACACGCGCACACAAAGTAAGTTATATTTAAACAAGTTTGTCTCCTGAACTGGCCCGCACGCACGCACTGGTTGTAGATCACCGGGACTCATTCTGTGTCAGCTTGCAAATTGAACCTAAATTTGGCACTCACATGCTTTGCAAATTTAGCAGCAGCAGCAGCAGCATGAGGGCGTTGGGAGTGCTCATGATTGTGGCTGTTTTTGTTTGTTTGTCTTACAGCACTTCCTGTGTACAATATATAATTTACAGACGTGGCTTCACCTTCTAGCCACCACACAATGGCTCGTTGTCGGCCCAAGGAGCCCCTCGGAACCCCCGTAGCTATTCCGCTGGGACATACCAAACGGCCAGACTTTAACAATCTGCCTCTAAGTGAACTCTGCTGTCCACAAAATCTGGCAGCTCGGCCGCTGGCTTTAAAAGAGGGACTGCCCTAAGCAAGTGTTCAGCTCAAACATCAAATTGCCGCAACAGGGCCAGCTTTTGCCAGGCAGTTTGCGCACGTGGTGATTTGGTTGAGAAGTACACGCGCGGGTGTGTGTGTGTGTCTGACCGCTCCGTGTCTGCTGTGCACGTCAAGGACGTCAAGGACTTCCCAAACTCAAATCACCCAACAACTACAATCCTATTGTTGCCGTCTTTAACTTTCTAACCAAGCGCGCATATCAATAACGACATGATATTGACGAATGCGAGACGGCGAATTGCGGTTGAGTGCGAGGAACGGAGAGTTGTCGAAGCCCCGAGCGAGGTGACGCATTCGATTCGGCGTGGATGATCGAGCCTCTTGCGATGTTCGTCATAAGGTCGTAATGTCATCACGGTGTGCGTGTGCGAGCCGGTTTCATCGTAAACAGATGCGGTGCGTCTTGAACCCCCCACCCCATCTCGTAGAACGAAGCTCGTGGGGGCCACCTAGTGGGAAGTGACTCCGCATCGACGTTGGTGCTCGGTGTTTTTGTTTGTTATCACTGCCGCAGAAGTACTCCCGTGATACATTTAGGTTTACCATTGTGGTACACGTCACGTTTGCGTAAGTGCCGTGGCGTTTTAAAGTGGCAGGAAAAATTGTCACACTTCATTCGAGTGGCTGAGAATCAGGCTGATATCCATCACACACACACACGATAATTTGGTTAACACAAAAAAACCTGCATTGTGGTTGTGCCCTTCCAAATCAAGAGAGGGCACCGTAGGAACATCCCACGGTTCCTTGTGGTCCCGCTGCTGTTATGTAACTGTAAATATTTACTCCTCTGCGTCACTCCACTGCTGGATGAAAGTCTACCCATGCCGTGTCATCGTAGGGGCTATTTATGGGTTGGTGAAGCTGGGTCCCTGGTCCAGTTCAGTGATGTTATCCGTGGCGGGAATCGAACAGAGGCCACCCTTTGCTGCTGCTAGCGTGTATCAATACATGATCGCACAGTTGAAACCCCTCTCTTATTCCTATACATTGTACGCAGCCGATCACCGATCGCTGCGGTCAAGTTATCAGACACGGTTCATCACGTGGAGTTTCCCTCTCCGATTGTAAGGGCCTCGACTGCAAGAGAGTTCCAACTCCACTGGAAGACAGCGAATCGTAATCGTAATATTTATTTATACTGGAGGAATCCGATGAGCTGTAAAGCTCTTTTACAACGCATGTCCAGTAGGAGCACGGGGTCAGAACGTTACAACAACAAACACTACGAAAGCACGAAAGGAGTGCAAAGTAAGTAAGTCGTGAAATAAACTTTCGAGGGTAAAATACCCGAGCGAACAAGCATGTGCTAATGAAATTAAAGTAGAATCCTGCTCCAAGCTGTGTATTTTTAAGTTTATTATATCGCTGTCAACGCCTTCCAGCGGAGTTGTAAATCTCTTGCAGTGGAGG